AAAATGACCACGCCCATTTAGTGATTGCAATATGTACGTAATAGAAACCGCACCCCGAACTTGAGCTTTTGATCCCAATTTTTAAATTGATACATTGTAATATAAACCGCGGTTTATAATAGGACTTTAACGGTACCTGTAGATTTCATACACCATAGCTAACTATATACATGTAGATTTTATACACCATAGCTAACTATATACATGTAGATTTCATACACCATAGCTAACTATATACATGTAGATTTCATACACCATAGCTAACTATATACAATACACGTAGATTTCATACACCATACCTTCTTTTCTGGAAACTGTTTCCGTGGTAGTCTCTTGAGTCACAATGTCCTGTCTGTTTTCATTGTCTTTATCAGGTTCATTGTCGAGCGAAAATTCAATACCACTTAAATCTAGAGAAAAATATATGTTTTGTTTTGTTAGAAAAACTGCTATTAGATACAGTCAAACCTGTGTACAGTGACAACACATTATTAACATACTCCATCAGCCAACAAGTGATAATGTAGTAGCAGCAACAAATATTTTAGAATTTTTAAATTTTCTATACCTTGTCCAGTTTTTTCGGCAATATCTCGTTTATATTCTATAATTTCTTTCTCTGTCATGCCTTCAAAAGGATTGGGTGAATATGTGGTGTACACTACAGCCTCTTTCTGATAGTCACGTTGTATAATGCCCTTTGATGCTGATTGGATATTGTCCCCTGAGCCGGAGGAACGGGCATCCTAAAACAAACATACACTAACATTTATACAGCAAACAATAATTTTGTTGAAGAAATTTGATGTGGATTAATTGCACTTTCAAATAAAGAGGAATTTTCTTCATTCAGTCTCATTCTGATACACTGATGTCCTAGAAACAAATGGAAAATTGATGCATCCATGTTTTTGGGTTCGGCCCTCAAAGGGTCAAGTACAGAGTGCACCTCAGTATGAAAGAATATAATATAGGCGACATCGAATTAACTTTTTGGACAATATTTTAAGAACAAATGTGGTCCACGGGTTCATCTCGTTAAGCATAGCAGTGGGGCAGGTAACTTATGGAACAGCCGCTTATATCATTCTCTTATGCATTTAAAGCACAATTTGGAGGGAGTGTGGGAGGAGGGCGGAACTGCAACACAAAGATCTTTAATAGCAGTATAAATTATGTCAATAATGCCACATCCGATTCTGGTTCTCACTGAAGCATGAATAATGAAATGTTTAATTCTTTAAAATTTGGTGATTATTATTAAATTATTATAATTTATTGCACTGAAGAAAGAAATTGAACGATGTAGTGAATTTATTTACAACATTAGCCATTACAGGAACAGGATGAACCAGAATCTGATTTTGATGTGTCTCAATATATGTACATTTAAATGATGGTGGGTCATGCTATTCTCTTTCTGTATTACCTAAACCAATGATAACAAACTCAAGCTGATGACAATTTTGGAGAACATTTAATAAGAAACCATTTATATGCAATGCATTATTTCCATGTTTTGAATAACATGCAAAGAAGGAGTATTGGTCCGGAAGAATAAAAGAATTTTTTGGAGTTTAACCATTTCAATGATATGTTTTCCAACCAAAATGTGGAAGCTACATGTCGCACATTTAGATGTATTTTTCTAAAACTTCTTCGTTAATTTTATACCAAATAGATATAATTTCGCATTGGCTGTCGATCTTTTGGAACATTTTTGAAAGAATATGAAAAAAATTATGCTTTCAATTTGTGAACTTTGTTTGATAAAACATGGAAATAATGTGTCTACCGTAGAACTGAAAATAGTTATGTGAAGTCTTGTAAGCCTTTATATTTTGATGAACATTAAAGAAGTTTAAGAAACCCCTCATTTTGGCGTGCTAAAGAAACAAAAACACTGTAAAAAAAGCTTCATTACCACGGTGATACAGGACAGAAACCAGACAGAGGATGAAATGAGGAAACAAAATGCAAACAAACACACACCAACACATGAAAATAAAATATGGCACTCCTTTAGTATAATATGGTGACACTTGAACAATGGCTGAACTGAATGTGCAAGTAAAAACTAAGCTATGGTGTACCTTTACGGTCGTCAACAGTTCTGTAGAATCTGACATAGGGGCATCCTTGGCACAGAAGAGAGAAAAAAAGAAACAGTAACTCAATAATGCTGGGACTACCCATCGCAGACACCAAACAATTAAGCACACACATTTTGATGAAAGCCAAAATGAAAAAAAAAATTTTAAGTGAGCATGTTTAGTTTAGCAAACAAAAAAATACAACCCAATTATGTCGCTTTTTACAGAGCAAACTGGAAAACCTGTCTAAAGCAAACGCTCAAGTTTATTGCCTAAGGAAAGTGGATTCTGAAAAAAGGGAAGTTCAGATTTCTTGGTTCGACAGGGTTCAGTTTACACAGGTTTTACAATTTCCATTACAACCTTTGCCACCATGGAAGCACATTGAAAGCTATGTACTTCATCATTGAGATACCAATCAACTGTTTCTTTTTTTCCAAATATAACAATTAATCTGATGTTCAACCACCATCACAAAAATGCTGCACAAATGTGAACCACAGAGGCACTTCTGATCATAAATGGTTTACCGACAGCATATGAACATTGAAAAACTGGGCATTTATCAGTTGTAATGAACATTTACAAACACACATTTCTCAATCAATACTTAGCAAGATAAATATAAAGCTGAAGAAAGACTGGTACCTTTGGCTGTAGTTAGAAATTGCCATGACAATAAAAAAAAACAAATAATTAGTAGATGAATAGATGGATTAGTGTAAACAAACAAAACACAAATCTGTGAAACTGAACCTGCAACATAAAATGAATAGTGAAAAGTTGTCATTGTAGCGCCCTCTTATGGTCTCTTTGCTAAATACTTTTGCTTTTACTCTTTTTAAAATGTTTTTACTCATTTATCTTTTTGTACATTCAGTATATTTCATTATACTTAATCGTTTCTAACAGACTTGTGGCAACTCATGATACAATATCTTTTAGGAAGATACAAGATGTAAAGATTATATTTCTACTAACGAGTTGACTGAGCAAGTTCAGCAAGTTTCTGAGGGGCATAGTGCACAAATAAAAACATTTCTGTATATTTTTATTTCAGAAACTGATAAATGCTCAAATTCATGATACAGCAAAGGTAGCATGAATTTATTTTAGATTTCATTGAATTTCAACTCCAGATGGAGCTGTTCATGGAAGCATTAACATGTCATGAATGAACAACCAAGGGGAATTAGGAATAATTTCACTCTTGGAGTATGGCCCTTTAATGACGAACTCCTCACAGGAGATCAAATAGGGGAAGACTTCTCAAGAGTACAAAAAACAAAACATTACATGCATTTCATCAAAATATTTGATTTGGTTTTTGACACCAAGCATATTCAGCATACCCACCACCATTTATAGCTTTAAGTGTGTGTAATGACAGTATAGCTATACACCATACCATATATGGAGTTAGCAAACCTACCTGAATCTTTTGACCTGGATAGCTTATACCGTGAAGAACTTCAGACAGTGGACCAGAGGTGATTCTGTCGTCACGGCGATCTTGTTTCAACTGCAAAATGAATAATATCATTATCTTAGTTATGGTCTCAAACACTTAAGTTTTACACAATAGTTTGTTGTTTCTTTCCTCATGTATATATTAGTGTATGTTTGAAATTAAATTCTTCAGGCACATACATGATGTGCATGTTTGTTGTTTGACTAGTGGTTTCTTTCCTCACATGATGTGCATGTTTGTTGTTTGACTAGTGGTTTCTTTCCTCACATGATGTGCATGTTTGTTGTTTGACTAGTGGTTTCTTTCCTCACATATATAAGTGTATGTTTGTTGTTTGACTAGTGGTTTCTTTCCTCACATATACAAGTGTATGTATGTTGTTTGACTAGTGGTTTCTTTCATCACATATACAAGTGTATGTATGTTGTTTATTCATTTTCTCGCAACTTACCTCCTTTTGTCTCTTCTTGAATTCTTTCGGGTCTTCGCCCTGTTTCGCAAATTGTTGTGGATCCTCAATTTTAATGGGTGTTGAAGTTTTAAAGTCACTCTCATCTTCAGGAATCCACTACAGTGAAAAAAATGCGCTTAATTCATCATATTATATATGGTAACTATGGTAACATACAACTGGCCTATTACATAATTGTTGGGGATCTCAAATGTTTGAAGATCATTATCTTGTATCATCAGTGATTTCCCAATTATTGTTAATTACGACCATTGAATTAAAGTGAAATGTACATTGGCTTGTTATGACCATAAGGGCAGTGTAACTTATGTTGAAATTGTGGTGCAAAATGAAGTACTGGTAGTAGGAAAACAAAATATTGCAAAATTGATTCATTAACACTTATCAAAGTTCTAACTATCATTCTGGTTTATTGAAATTTCATAATTGATAGTCCTTTTTTTTTATCTAAATATTTTATAAGTAATCCATAGCAACTGATATGTATGTTGAATTCAGCTTAATTTACAGAAACCGCTCCAGTTTTAGACAATAGATCCAGGGTGACTATGTTGATGTCCATGCCAACACTGGTATATCCTAAAATGTTGGTTAATTCTTAAAAGTTGTGGTAATTTAAATCAATGAATGACATTACCTTTGTCTTAGTTTTTGGACTACTATCCCCGTCCTGTACTGTCACCTCGACTTTGGTGTACGTGTTTGGAGTGTTCATCCATTTTGTTTTGTCACCGGCAGATTTCTTCTGCATCAGTTTCATCGGTGACTCGTATTTACTGCGATCCACGTCACCTTCAGTTACGTATGTAAATGAGGACGACGATGGAGGTATGACCACATCACTGTGTGGTTTTCTTTCTTCACTTCTTACAAGCGGTTGTCGGTAGATGTAACCTGTCCTGTGGCCCTATACATGTCAAACAATATCACCTGTTAGTAATTTATTGCTTGTGTATCATTTAAAAATAGACTCATTTTCTAATTTTTGCAAAACTTAAAAGCTGCACTCTCATTCTGTATAACAGAGTCCTACAACTTATTACCATGAGAAACGATAACATTTTCAGAAATCACCATTTGCATGTCTTCTAAATAGAACTCAATTGAACTGTACAAAACTCAGTCTTTATTGCGCATAGGTTTTTTTTCTACAGCAAAACTGCTGTTGAGTCAAAGTATATACACAAGGCAGAATTTGGTATGTTGAAAAAATCTTGCAAACAAACAAGCTGCTCTCTGATTGGTCCGACTGTTGGGTATTAGGGTTTGGTAGCCCAATCAGGCACAAATCTTATAAAACTGCTGTGGTTAATTATGCAAATCTTACCATGTTATCAAGCCACCTCATCATAGCCTCAAATTCCAATTCTCCAGTTCTCCATCTTAGTTTACCGCCATCTTTAGGGTGGCCTTCTTTGGATGTGTCTCTTGCTTTCTTTGCCATCTCATCATCAACCAGAACCATATTATCTACACCAACGC